CCCAATCTTTTTTAGTTTTTATTTTATTTGTATTTTAATTGTTCCCCTTACTTTATGTGTATTTCTCAATTAATAATACTAAAATGAATTGTACAAAGTTTTTGTTGAAAATTAAACTTGATTTCTGGTTTTTCTAAAGAACAAAGAAACTTGTCTACTTATTGGAAACCGATCAACTAGTTAGGTAAATAAATAAGTTGATCGGTTGAGAAATAGTTAACCAGTTTAATTGGTAGAATACAATTCATGTTTAGATTAAAATTTTCTTGTATTAATTTAATTCTTTGATTATTTAGGACTTTATGTCTATAAAAAGACTTGTAATTTAGCATTATTAAGCAATACAAAATGAGAGAGAATAGTTAAAAGAGCCCAGAGAGAAACATTTAATAAAAATATATTTTTTTTCTTAATTCTTTTTTTTTTGTATTTTTTAGTATCTTTATGTTCCTTCACTTTATATTTCATAGTTTGTTTAATATAAACTTTCTCTTTAAGAGAATCATTAAAAAAGGCTAATTTAATATCCATTTGATAGATTCTCCATCTATGTTGGATAGCAGCAACAATGATTAATTGAATGGTCTCTAATCTAGCATTTAGAGCAAATACTTCATCATGGTCAATTCTATGCTCTTGACTATAGCTTTTTTTTAATTAATCTTGCCTTGTACCTCTCTACTTCTCGTTGGTATTCTGTTTTTTCTTGAAGATCCACTTGATATCTATTAACTTTTTTCCTTTTGGTTTGGGAACCAACTTCCATGAGTCATTCTTCTCATGCAATATTCTCATCCATAACAATTCTCAATTTGGCATTTTTTATTGTTTCTTTAAACATTATAAGATTACATGTAGTGGAGGGATAATATGGTTTTTTAACTTTGTCATTTATATCATTACTTACATCATATAAGTCATCAAGGCTCCTCATCTTTTTTGGTAGACTTGGCAGAGTGTCACTACTTGATTTTCCATTAGAAAAAAAGAAGGAGAAGGAGAAGGAGAAGTTGAGCTCATTGGTGTTTGTGGAGGTGTAATTATAGATTCTTTATGATTTTCATATATTTTCTATTTTTCATGAAGAATCAGTAAGAAGTCGTATTTCTCACCATTATCTACCTTTTAATCTCATGCTCCTTTTTTATGGAACTAAAATCTTTATTAATTACTATATTTTCTTTATTAGGGTTGTAAAGTTTTTACCCCTTGAACTTTTAATTATAGCCTATAAAGATCATCTTTATGCTCTTGTCATATATTAAAGTTAAACAAAACCTTGTATGGATTAAAGTAAGCCCTGAAAGCTTGGTATAGTCGCATTGATGGTTATTTCTTAAATAATTAATTTGTTAAATGCCCTCATTAATATAATATCTATGTAAAAATCAAAAAGAGTGATGATACTCTTATTATATATTTGTATGTCGATGACTTGGTTTTTACAAGAAATAATCCAAAGATGTTTTAAGACTTCAATCAAATAATGATCAAGGATTTTGACAAAATAAATATTAGTTTCATGTCCTACAACCTAGGGATTAAAATTAAACAAGGAGAAGATGGAATCTTTATGAATCAAGAAAAGTTTAAAGAAGAGGTTTTCAAAAAGTTCAAGATGGAAGATTATACAAAAGTAAATACTTTGGTTGAATGCGAAGTAAAGATGTCAAAAAATAATGAAGGAAAAAAGATAAACTTTACAACATTCAAAAGCTTAGTTGAAAGTTTGAGATATTTGATATATTCTCGTTTGAATATTCTTTTTAGAGTAGGATTTGTGAGTAGGTTTACAGAGACACTAACCATGAGACTCTTTAAGGTTTTGAAATGAATTCTTCAGTATGTTAAAGGTATTGTTGATTTTGACTTATTTTATAGATATTATAATAGCTTTGATTTTATGGGTTACAATGATAGTGATTGAGTTAAAGATATAGATAGTATAAAGAGTACTACGAGTTTTGTTTTCTACATAAGAGACATAATATTCACATAGAGTTCAAATAAAAAATCTACAGTCACTTTGTCAACATGTAAAGTTGAATATATAGCTACCATATCATGTGTTTGTCATTCCATATGGCTAAGAAGATTATTAAAAGAATTGTGAACGCCACAATAAAAACCCATGGAGATTTATATGGACAACTCATAAACTATTATATTAGCTGAAAATCTAGTTTTTCATAATAGGAGCAAGCACATTAACATAAGATCTTATTACCTAATAAATTGTATTACAAACAAGGAAGTTAAATCAAGTATGTGAAGACATAAAATCAAGTCGCAAATGTCTTTACAGAGCCACTAAAAAAAATCTTTTTATCAAAATGAGAGATATGATAGGAGTTATGAAAAAATCAAGTTCAAAAAAGGTATTAAAGATTAAACTTAATTTCTGATTTTTCTAAATAACAAAGGAACCAATTGACTAATTGGATTAAATAAATTGATCGATCAGTAGAGAAATGATCGACCAGTTCAGTCGGCAGAATACAATTCATGTTCAAATTAAAAATTTTCTATATTAGTTTAATTTATTTATTATCTAAGACTTTATACTTATAATTAAATTATATTTGTAGTTCAGCATTATTAAGTAGTAAAAAAAAAAACTAAAAAATCTTAGAAAAAAAACATTTAATAAAAATATAATTTCCTCCCAATTTTCTTTCGATTCTTGAGCTTATTGTTATTAATTTTATATACACTCATCCTTCTTTCAACAGTTTTCACCCCAAATCATAGGCTCCAGGATTTGTGGCATTTCAATTGATTTTGCAAACATAAAAGCATTGCAATTGAAAATTATACATAATTCTCGTGAACCAATCCTGTAAAATTGACGCCAAAGAGTCAACGAAAATGACGAATGAAAATACGTACACGTTTCTCGGAACGGGTTACTTCGAATTCGCTTTCACTCAGCTTGGCGGCTTGCACCTAACCACTGATAAAAAGACAAGTGGCTTCGCACTTGAAAAATAGTTTTCTAGTTGTAACTTGAAAGCCGAATATTTCAACGGACATTACAGTCCAAACTATATATATATATAATATCAGGTTAACTCTTTTTTTAATGCTAACATGCAGTTACAGTCCCTTACGCATTCCTTATAATTTTAGCATGTTAGCTTTTGTGCTTTGCGTTTTTCTCACATTATTTCTTCAATGGCATTTGTGATCAGCCAGGCCGCTGAGTTTTCCTGGCATCGTACCTGGGCTTAACAAAATGATTTACAAGTCAATTCCCTTTACTACAGTCCTTTTTAAAGCTACCGTTCACCTTCTTCTATTTCGGCTCCTCTGCATGTTAAATTGGGCCCTGAGAATTTTTGCTCCAGTTTATCTCCCCCTACCTTTTCACCTTGTCGTCTTGCTACAGAGTAAAATCTCGTGCAAGGGTTGTTCCTCTTCTAATACGCAAAATATAGTCTAATATTGGGATGCCTTTTCTACTGTATTTTTTATGTATTAATGCAATCTGCACCATTGTTATGGTTTCTTCCTTCTTGCTGTTTCTTTCCCTCGTCATTTTGCCGATTTCTTTTGATTAGGAGGGATTTCCCACCTTCATTTGGTGTGCTTTGTCCCCCTTTACTTGCATTCTCATGTTTCCTTATACAGATTGTTTTCTTTTACCCTTTGTTTTCCATCCTTTTTTCTCTTCTATTTTTATTTTTATTTTTTCCAATTATTTTCACTAGTTTTCACTTTTTTTTTAATTATATAAAATTGGTTTTTATATAATTCCGAATCACTAAAAAAATTGTCCTTCACCATCAGAGACCAAACTGTCATCTTCCTAAAATTCAGGGGTCAGATCGTAACTGTATAAAATTGAAGTAATAAACTAAAATTATCATAAATTGGTGACCAGGATGAAATTAATGATACTCATGGGTAAACCTTGGAACGAAAAATCAGGTAATTATATAAGTTAAATAATGAACCTTGGAACGAAAAACACCCCAAATCGAATCTCATGGGTATGGATCCACATCATAACTTAAGAAAAAGGAAACTTTAAGATAAGGCAGCATTTATGATAATTAAAGATAGAAAGGTGGGAGCAAAGGAATGTAAAGCCCAATAAATGTCATGGATCCGAACATATAAAACATGGCCCAAAGCATACCCAACATACAAGTCCTGTCTTGCATCCTTCTACAACATGTAAGTTGGGGTCGACTGTAATCATTGCCTGACACGAGACAGTGACTTTTTTTTTTTTAGTTGCTATAAACTTGAATTTACATCATAAATTTCAAATAGGCATGTAGTCATATTATAAAATAAATTAACTGGTTTATGTTTTTTTATGGTAGACTTCACTGGAATAATGTGTTTATTATTATTATTATTCTTCAGGTGTGAAAAGGTATAGCTTAGTTCATAAAGTTTCTAATTTTTACATATTTGATTCTTATAGTATCATGTCTTAACTTTTTAGTTCTCATACTAATTTTTCATTCTCATGTTGGAATGTCGACGGGGACTCAAAAACATGCTGATCATCGGCCCCTTTGGATCAGAACCCAAATGGTAACAAAGAAACCACGGACCGAACCGAGTGATAATGGATAGAACAGGAACCGAAACCCCACCCTTGTGAAGACCAAATACGAAGCCACTCCAACTTTCAACTAAAATTGCCAAAGAATTGTTGAGAACATGACAAAAGGAGCCACTTTTGCCACAAACGCTAGTGCTATAATGCTGTCAATGATTTTACCTGGAGGGATCTAATAATTTTCGAAGTCGAATCATTGGTTCCTCGGTTAGAGCACAACGACGGCAAGCAATTACATTACAGATGTCTAACCGCTCAGCCAAACATCCCAGACCTCTGAGAAACCAAAGATTTTATGAAGCAACTTCAACCTCCAAGGAAACGTACCAATTGTTACAAGCCAGGCTCTCGACCTGATCATCTTAAGCAATTCTGTTGTCGAGAATGGTTAAACCATATGATAAACAGAGGGAACATTGAGCAATGATCTTAATGATTCTTATATGTATAGTTGAATTGATTCTAAAGGTTCGAACAGAAACAGAAAGAAGCACCGCAAACAAATTATTGATAGCACAACTATATACATTGTACGGGTGATACATCATAATGTAATTCTAGTCCAATGTAGACCACCATTTTTTTTTCCTTCTTTTTTTGACCTTTTCTTCTATTTCCCTCTTTCTACTTTTAATATTTTTTTTATCCCTTCTACACGGCAAGGGATTCGCCAGTTTGCGGTGATTCTGGGGGGGCGATATAGAACTATTTTCATCAAGAATTGGATAAAGCACAAAATAAACTGTACAATTCATAAGAGTTACCAGAAAATATCATCAACTCCCGCTGAGGTAGATCGATCTTAATCCTCCTCAGGCTCCAGCTCCGTCTCTAGCTCAACAGGCCCAAATTCTGGCGATTCAATATCAGCAAGATTCTTCAGATCAACAATTGAAAGTTCATCTAGTTTCCTCACCACCAAGTCTGCAGCACCAAGCTCATACACGGGATGCTTACTAGCAATAGCAACACACTTCATAAAAGCATCGTGTGCAGCCTCCACGGTTTGATTAGAGTTCCCAAACACAATACAGCGCTGTGGTATAAAGTTTAGAAGCTGGGCTGCATAAATAAACATCTCCGGATCAGGCTTCCCCCTGTGAACATCTTCTGCTGCTACAATAGCAGTGAAATACCCTTCAATCCCGACGGTTCCAATTGCATTCTCGAGAGTTTTTCTTGGACGTGTGGAAACCAATGCCATTGGTATCTTGTAATGCATCAAAATATTCACAAACTCCTTTGAGCCAGTTCGTAATCTGTATATCCCACCTTGAAGAGATTGGTAGATTTCTTCCTTCCTTGTAGCCATTCTTTTCATCTCTGGCGGGTCTCTCGACCAACACAAGACTTCAGAGATCGCTTGTTCATTCTTCATCCCGTCTACTCGTCTCAAAATAAAAGCTGGAGGAGTGGGTTTTCCTTCTTCTCGGGAAAGAGCAAGCCAAGCTTGCCTCTCGAGATCAGGATTGTCCTCAATTATCACACCCTCCCACTCAAATATAGCACCCAGCCAACTGCAACCCATCCTTTCTTGTCGAATCAAGGGGTTATGCAACAAAGCATTATCCGCTCTGTTCTCTGGTGGCCACAAACCTGGTTTTCTATCAACACCAGTATCAACTCGGTAATTCCAAGTCCGTGGTATTCTCTCTTCCTCCCTGTATGAGTGCACCTCTTTCGTAAGCTCTGTTGCCAGAGCCTTAATTGAGGTATTAACTAACCTATCAATTGTCAATCTTGGCAACATAGGAGAAGAATAAATAACCCTTTTACCCACGGCTTCTTTTATCGGACACCGACAACTAATCAAAGACTTTCTCCTGTAAGACGTATCCTTGACAGACAATCCCCCACACAGTGGCCTATATCCAATAAGAGATGCTGCAGCAACTGAATCCGCCATGTTTACCAGTTCTCAAAATAGGCAAACCCACCAACAAATTTCAACTCGAATCTAAACTAAATTTCACCTAATCCAGTCCCTAGAGAACCGTACACAAAATTTACACAGCAGTAATTATAATTACACAAATAAACAGAGCTTTCTTACACTAAAAAGAAAATAACTTGCTTGCTTAAAAGCCAAACCAAGCATAGCCCATTAACCCTGACAATCTAAAACCTCAAAGAAACAACATAAACAGCTGTAAAACCTATAAAAACTCACCCCAGAAGGCTAATACACAACAGATAAAAAAGCCTCTAAACTATGGAAGTTTTTTTATCAATTTTAGAGTGGAAAAGGGGGGAATGAAGAACCTGTGAAGTAACTGTTGATTAAATATTCGATGGGTGGGATTGGAGAAGGAGAGGGGAGTGGCTAGATACTTCGAGGGATGAAGGATATGTGAATATCTCCGAGTGTGTGTGATGCTTATTGTTGAAGGAATGGTAGTTGTTTTCTGTGGTTTATAATTACACCCAGACCTTTTTACAAGGAGAAAAAGGGTCCGGCTTGCTGGGCACGCGTCAGTCACTATTATTATTATATTATAGACTATAGAATACAGGGGGATTCTATAATTTATTTTGTTACTAAAAGTTTTATTTTATACTATTTGATCCTGATTAAAGTAAGTTACTTCTAATTTTTTAATTAATGATAAAATAAAAAGAAATATGACTAAAATAAAAAAGAGGTAGACATAAATGACATACCATATATTATATTTAGATCATTGGTATTTGAAAATAATATAATTTATATAATTTACATTCCTTTAAATTTTTAAAAATTACTTTTGATACATAAGTTCATTTATTTTATTTTTTAAATTTTTAGTTAAAGAAAAGAGAGAGGAGTTACCAAATTTCAATAATAAAAGAGAATGTTATTTTTCAATCACCAAAATAGTTTTTATTAATATACACAGGTTTTTTAAGATGAAAAAAACTTTATAATAGTTGTCATTCTCTACCATAGCGTTAAAAATATCTTGTCACTCCCTTCATGGTAGTATGGGAAATGCCTTCAAGAGAATGAAAATTGAGAAAATTGAGATTTGGAGGCATGTTTTTCTTCCCCCCTTTACAAAACTCATTAGGATTGCAAGAATTTAAATAAGTCAAGTAATTTATTGATTGAATCAAATTCAGTTTATATTTTTTTATTGTAATATATTTGGTTTTGAACTCTTTATTGATTTTTTTTAATTTTATTATTTAGAATTTTATTTTTTTATCAAGTTTGATCCTCATTATTTTTATTGCTATTTATTTTTTCTAATTATTTTCTGATTAATTTTTTTTACAAATTCATCCATCACTGTTTGATTTTATTTTCTCTTTATGTCAAATTCTATCATCATTCTTGAATTCTAATTTTTTCTATTGGATCCTTTTTCTCTTGTTGAATTAGTTTTTTTCAATTTCATTTTCAATTATTTTAATTGGTTGAAATTTGACTTCATTATTTTTTTATGTTTGTCTTATACAGTGTAATCCAGCTCTTTGAACCGCGTCATGGGTTTGAGAATTTTAACAAAGTGTGTTTTGGTCCTTTTTAATTCCTTTTAAAAAATAAAAGAAGATTTGACTTTTATAAGGTTGCGTTCCAACAAAAATAAGAAGTAATTGACACAATATGATATGAAAAAATAGTATTGAGGAAGAGGACACGATAACACATTCAAAGACATGATTAACGACCTGGTTTGGCCATCAAGAGAAGCCGCACATGCCATCTGAAGGACGTGAGTGCCTTCCAATTATTAGAGCATGGTAAACTAATAATTTTTTTATTTTTTAAATATATCAACCGGTATCAAAAGACTAAATTGTCCTCGATTATTATGAAAATAATATAAAACAAGCTTGAAAAGACCAAAATGACGTTCTATTCATACCCTTTCTTTTTGGAGCAAAGGGAAAAACTATACTTTAACTATTTTTTAAATATTGCTGAGACAAAAAAACCCTTCAAATAAGTTAAAGAAAAATGTATTTTGAAGGGCAATGAAAAAATAAAAATACTTCCAAACAAATATGAAATGATTAATGGACCGTATAAAAGATAAAAATACCTTTAAGTCAAATCATTTGACTCTTGCTTTTATTTTATCTATAGAACACAATATTGTGAGTTTTAAATAACATTGATATACTTTAATTATTAAATTTATTTATTTCATGATTTATTCATTCGAGAAATAGAAAGTCATGGTTTCATTAAGATTCTCTTCTACTATATGTGGATGTTATAATGTCTGGTTAGCAACTCAACTAGTTAAAATCTTTAAGAATACATTTTTAAATTTCTAACTCTATAATATGATCCCTAACCTTTTAAATTTCTTTTATTGTAATCACTAAGTCTTCTAGTATTATAATAATCTAACAACTTTTAAATCCAACATTTTCGCACTTAGATTATGATACTAAAACTAGTAATTTTGATTTTAAAGGTGTTGATTGGTATTAAATCTTTAATCATGTCAACTTTTCAAGACATGAACCAAATCAATACCCATGATATATGAATTATTATTTGTTGACATCAAACCCATAATGGTCATGGCCTAGTATTTTTAGTTTATTTTCAAATTCTTTTTAAAAGCTATAATAGATTATTATACTTTTTAGTTTTTTTTTTTACGTTAACTCGAGCCCGGGTGTTAGACAAATCCAACACTTTTTATTAGGTTTGAATGTAACCCAAGTCAGGTGTTAGGGACCCCCAACACCTCTTTATGGGCTCGGAAACACCACCTCACACCAAACCCCCACTCCTAAAGGATGTGTTTTGGTCTTCTTTTTAAACCTAAAAAATGTGTTGATTTTTTCTTTATTTCTTTTCCATCAATTCTTGTGTAAAAGATATCATTATCTATTAATATTTATTAATATTTATGTAAAAGATATTTTTTTATTAATGTTTGTGTAAAAGATATTTTATTTTTCATAAATAATGTCATGGTAAAATTACTTTTCAGCTCTACTATCTAAAAAGAACAAGATTCAAGAATTATAAACACCTTTTGAATTACTAGATAAAAAATAATTTTTTTCTTACATTAAAAAAAGTATGAATTCAACACAAAAACAATCAAAATCTTAAAATTTAAAGATTTTTAAATGTATTTATCACTTATCTTTTTTAACTTACTAATTTTGTCATTGAAGAATTCTTAATTGATTAACAAAATTTACCATAATATTAAAGAAATGAACTATTTACAACCAATTCATCATTCAACAACTAAAAAACTTTATCCTACAAATCCTTCTAACACAAGGTTGTACCTTCCACAATATTAGTAAACACAAAACTAGTTTATGTACTCTAGTGTTTATGCCAATCACGTATCAATAATTTGATTTTTCCATTAAATACTTGAACTAATTTTTGGTTAGAAACGGTCGAGAGTTCTTATTATTGATAATTCTTTTATTTTTATACCTTTTTGTGGTGGCCAAATTATCCATTCCCTCGCGAGTTTTTATAACACTTGGATCTATTGTAGAATTGCATAATTTATACAGCCAATTGAGCACTCCTTTGTTTATGAAATATTTACTTAGACTCCACATCTCTTAATCCTTGAATAATTAGATGTTTGATAACAGTTGTGTCAAACCTTACATATTTACCTTTGAAAACCTCGTGTGTGTCCATTATACTGAAGCACATAACATGACTGAAAAAGTTTTTTTTTTTTAATAACCAAATAACTTATATTTACAATGTCGAGTAATTAATAACCAATATTTTTTTTTTTGAATTTATTAACTCAAATAAAAAAATTAATAATGAAATTAATTTGGACTAAAATCAAACCACAAACTCCCCGATGCTCCAAACCCCATGCTCAATTTATAAAAAATCCCAGCGCAAATAATTTGTAGAAATGGTTGATAACAAAACGTGCACGGGGTAATTTTTTTATGGAGAAAAAAACACGCGTCCCCATAAATAATGACGTTTGACACGTATGTATGACACGACGTCGTTATCAATAAACCCTTATTCCTTCATCCAGGCCAGAAACCTAAGCTCCTCCCTATCCTCTTACTCTCCGTTTTCCTCTACCAGCTGTTCGATAAAACTCTTACAAGAAACAAACCCATGGGAAAGAGAGGAGGAGGGGGAGTCAGCAAAAAACCACCACCGAACACGCTAACAGCGTCTAACAAGTCTTTCGCACTGAGTGCAAAAGGTGGAAATCACAATCCCAGGTCATTATTGAAACTTGAACACTTGCAGAATCTTGCATCATGGGCTACCGAAGAAGCTTCAATCCCTTCTCTTGCTGCCTTTTTTGGGCGTCAGTTTGCGTCTTCTGCAGAGGCTTTGGGTGTCCCACTTGACCCTTCTGCTCTGTTTCAGTGTCAGAGGTTAGTATTAAACGTCAGAGCTTGATTGTGTTGGCAAAACGGTTTCTTAGACTTTTATGTTTTATGTTTCTGTTTCTTGTGTGTTTTAATATGGGTTCAACGCAATTGTTATTACTTGAATGGTTGAATTAGAAGCTTGCTGATGAATTCGCGTTGGTTTAAGCTGAAGAAACTACACTGCTTAATAGGTTGTGAAGTATTGTTAGCTTTTCAAGTCAGCGTGAAAACATTTGAATACGAAATAGGCTTGAGATTGGATTCTTTTCACTGGTTTCACACTGTGGTTGCAGAGCAGTGTGCTTCTATGGTGCTTATTTTTGCCATTGCAATGGATATTGACTTCCTTGTTTGTTAGCAGCGTTATTCAATTACTTTTGACTCGAATTTCTGCTTGTATGAAAATGGCGTTTTACTTGAATGCATAATCTTTCAAGTGTGGTTTCTAGTTGAACGCATAATCTTACAAATGTGGTTTAGCTGGTCCCGCTGAACTTTCTTAATGAATCCTCATTCTTTGCTTGACACCCCCTCCCTTTTCTTTTCTCTTTTGTTGAAATTCAATCTTGTCATGATCAGTAGGATTTTTTCATCCAAATTGGATATCCTTTGTTTCGCAGGTGCGAGACATTTCTTCGACCTGGCTTTAACTGCACAACACAAATTGAAAAGAATCAACCAAAGGCAAGGCGTCGACACAAGAGATTTAGTACTTTGACGAAGAATAATGTCGTCTACAAATGCCACCACTGTTTACATCGAAATCTAAAGAGAGGAACTCCTAAAGGCCACATGAAAGAAATATGTCCGCCCAAGCCCAAGCCACATGCTAAACCAACCAAGTCCGTGCTTCAGAAGTCTGCCAACTTGGAGAAAGGCACAAGTAGCAAAGGTGAGATAGTTAAGATCGACGGGCCAGCTCTGCCTGCAATATCTCTGGATACTTCGATCACGAACAATCCAGCAAATCCATTTCCGAGGATTAAGACAGATGAGATATACAAGATAGCCGAGACAGCTTTGCCTCTAATATCTGTGGACACTTCCATCACAGACAGTCCAACAACTCCATTGCCAAGAGTTAAGACAGACGAGATAATTAAGATTGATGAGACAGCTTTACCTGCAATATCCATGAGCGCTTCAATCACTAACAGTCCAGCTACTCCACTCCCAAGTGGCAGATTTTCTCTGCTGGATGCCAAGAAGAAAAGGAGAAATAGATCAGCTAAAAAACCTGAGCAATCTGTAGGCGATTCTGCTGCAATGGATGCTGAAAACACTGTCAGCACATCAAGTAAAAGAAAGAGAAAATCTTGGACAAGCCTGAAGGAAATTGTGGAGAATAGAGCACAATAAGAGTCGAAACATTAAAACCCTGACAAAGCCAATGTTTTGTGTAAAATAGTAAAATCTTTTTAACAATGAAGACTGCTGGTAAGATCATGGCCAATTGTTTTTTTACTGCAACATAAACAATCTTGAGGGAAGAAAAGGTCCCAGCAGCAAAACAAAGTTTTGGATTTACTTTTGTATTTTCGTTAGCAACATAGAAGTTTGGCCTTTAATGCTTTTCAATTTTTCACCAAGGTACTCTGTGTAGATGGCTACTAGATTGTTGTTCTGCCGGGTGGATTATTTTTTAAGAAAAAAAAAAAAAAACTAGTCAGATATTGTTAGTATTTTTTCTAGTAAAAAAATAAAAATAAACCTTCGAGGTGAGATTAAAGATTGATTTAGTGAAGCAACCATACTGTAAATGGGTGGGGTATGTAAAATAGACTCCATTCTGGAAGAGAACAAATAAACCTTACTATCTCAGAACCAACAACTTTATCTAACACATTCCACCTTAATTAGAGGATGGAAATGAAAACTATCTTACTAAAACATGGCTTCTGACAAGATTATAGCCAGAAGAAAGTCGTCAGCAATGCTTCCATTCTCAGTTCAGTTGTCCCGCTCTTTTCTTTTTCTCAATTCCTTTGCAATAACTCATCATTTTCCTTCAGCAACTGCATCTCCAGGCCCATGCACAGAATCAAGAGTAACGAGCCGAGGATCATGCCACTATGTTCTTTACACATCAGGTTGCTGCAGATACTGCACAAGTACTGACCACCAAAGCAATAAAATATAGTATTTGATATTGTTTTTTTTTTTAAATATTAAAAGAATATTTTTTATATAAACACATAAAAAAATAAAAAAATTTAATTTTTTTAAAAAAATTTCTTATAAAACATGACTACATGATTTTGTAATGGAAACAGTTGTCATATCCCTACATTTATGTCATTTATGTAATTTACTCTTTTTCCACGTTATAACTTTGTATACAAAAGTTTAATGGAATTATGATTGGATAATCTAAAAAAATTATATTCTAAACTTGAAATCTGCATAAATAAATCTTATTTTTATATGCAATTGTATGGATAACTTTAAATTTGAGTTTAAATTTATTTACTATTTTGACAATAAACAATACTAATTTATTCATTTATTTGTATTATCAACCCAAATTCAAGTAGCACATAATCTAAAAAATTATTAAAGACTTTTCTCATCTTCAAGTCTCAATTATAAGCAAATAAGCACCCTTGAATCAATTTCAAACACATTACTAATTTTTAACTTCGACACAGCTTCAATCATTCTAATTTAACTCGTTAAGACCCTTTGTAATTGTTTTGCTCTTGCTTTTTCAATGAACCATGTGAATCTTCTTACATGTTAGATTTAGTTTTACAAGATGAATTATAATTTTTATGATGCGTATCATCAACCTCGAATTGAAAATGATTTGTTCTCGAATCATAATCGTCATTATCATCCAAGTATGTAGTCAAGTCTTTCACATTAAAAATAATTAATTAAAAATAGCTAATACTTGATAATCACAAAAAAAATCTACTTTTTATATATTATAATTTATCTTTTTTATAATTCAAAATAAATTATTAGCTTTTTACATCAACTTAAACTTATATTTGCTTAGAAATTTACCTTTACAAATATGAATTCAAATAAAATTTTTGGGTTCAAGCCTATCAATTTTCTTTATAAAAACATAAAAAAATAAAAAAATTTTAATTTAAAACAAAGAAATTTTTTTTATATAGAAGATGCTACATGCTCTTGTAATGAAAACATTTGTCATATCCTACATTCATGTCATTTCTGTAATTTACTCTCCTCCTAGGCCCCAGGTGGTCAAATCCTCTTGAAATGGAAACAGTGGCGCAACACCAGGCGGAAGCCAAATTTCGGAGAGAATCAGAGAATGAAACTCCGAAAATTCGCGCAGATCTCAACGAGCGAAGAGGAAGAGGAAGAGGAAGAGGAAATGTCAAATGAACGTGAAGAGGGTGAGATATTTCCCCCAGAAGAGGATGAGGATGAGGAGGCATCGCAGGAGGATCCCAAACCGGTTGGCAAACGAGTTAGGTTTTCAGGAGAAGGAAGCGAGAAGAAAAGTCACTACAAGGTTTTCGAGTTTTCCGGAAACCGTTACACTATTGTGAGTGATTTTTTTCTGACAACATGAATGGGTTTCGACGGTTTGTGTTTGAATTGAAAGTTTTGGTTTTTTTATTCAGTGTTTTTAGGGTTAAAGCTGGAAAGAAATTGGGTCTTGCGTTTGGTTTGCTAGCTTTTTGTGTTTCTCTTGGTGGGATTTTGGGGTTTAAGTATTTTTTGGGTTAACCTCTCGCCTTGGATATCTGGTTGCTATTGGTCTCTTTGTTGGAGGGTTTTTGAGTTTGTGCTTGTTATTGAGTGCTGGAGGTTATTTTTTTAATTTTTTTTTTTGTTGTTAAATCAGGAGGGAATTGGGTTTAGGTTTGTTGCTTGCTCAAAATAAGTGAAGAAGATATGAAAGTTTAGAGCTTTTCAATGTTAGTTGTTTCATTCTCATGTGTTGCGAAGGCTGTACCTGTTTGTTTTTGGCTATCTAATGTTTGATCAGTTTTCTTTATCAATTTGGTTTTTATTCTGGACCTGTATTCGTAAGAATTTGGAGTTTGCGTGAGGTAACATAATTGAGGACTGAAAAAGCGGGGCGAATTCTCCCTAGCTTGAACTTGAAGTGGCTTGAAGAAAATGTACTATTACAAGAAAAGGAATTGATATTTTTTATGGTATTCAGAGTTCTCATTTCTTGTCTTGGAATTACCTGTTTTCTTTGATTTACTGGTTCAAATGCAGCAGTGGTTTTGAGCTGCTTTGTTGGAATGAGACTGCAGTTAGTTTCATTGATTGCATCTGGGGTTTTAATGTTTGAGAAATCCCTTATTTAGTGTGTTGGGTTTGTTGAGGTGAAGTTAGGTTAGCTAATTGGACAATTTGAAGTTTAAATTTGCAACTGTTTATGTGTTTAAATTTGATGTGGGAATGCATACTGGTTTTGAGACCTTGGTGGAATCATGGTTGCATTTGCTTTTTTTTCTCTTTAATTGTTCATGTCATCATCGAATTATATTTCTCAGTTCTGCTTTTGCTGTTCTGCAGGAAGATCCTGTGCTTCTAGCTCCTGAAACTAAAGAGCAAAAGCCTGACATCGTAATTATCAAGGTAATCGCTTGGAATTGCTTTGTAGTGTGCCATAGGCTTCTCATTGATCTTATTTTTTGTTCTTTGACCCTTCAGGTGGACACACACTTATGCCATTCATATTTAAATTGGATATTTGCACATTTTTTCATTTTCACTTTGTTCCTGGTATTTGCTTTTGATGCTAAATAAGCTAGTGTTAAAGCATAAACATGATTCTATGTTTGTAGGGATGAAAAGGTTCTTTGAGTTGTTACTGTTCTGCATAAATATTGCAATTCATGCTTTACTGGCATGCTCTGATGTCTTTAATAAATGATAAGCAACTGATTGTCAACCGATCTAAATTTTCTCCCAATCTTTTCAAGTGAATTAATTGAGCTTGCCTTCATTTTATATTTAGCGCATAAACAACTTTCATATCATCCTTTTCCATTGAAACCAACATGCCTGTTATCATGATGACAGGACATTACTCAGACCATTGATGGTGCGGTGATGGTCACTGGACAACTGTTTTATCACCCTGAAGATGCTAAGAAAAAGGGTGGTGGAAACTGGCAGATACGTGATAACAGGGAGCTGTTCTACAGTACCCATCATGTTGAGGTTCCAGCAAAATGTGTAATGCACAAGTGTGTGGTGCATTTTATCCCCGCCAACATGCCGCTTCCAGATTGCAGAAAACATCCTGGGTTTATTGTTCGGCAAATTTATGATGCTGCAGAGCAGAAGCTCTGGACGATAACTGAGAAGGACCCTCACTAGCATTTCTGTTCTTCCCAATGTTCTAATAATATTTTGGATGCAGAGAGGTGAAAGAAAAATAGATTAGGATGCGAGTAATCAGAGGAATCTAAAAGGCGTATTGCTGCAATAGGTGCTAAAATACCCTAGGACATCAAGTTAAAGAAAGAATGAAATGATTGACAGCAGTGAACATTATTAATATGACAAATCCAGAGTAATGCAAGTAGCATTCTTGTGTTTAATACAGGGGGCTAGAATCACAAGGGGTTACTCTAGTCATCTGATTGTAACGTAATGATTTTCAGTAGAGAATGGGAAATTTCATGAAATTCTAGGCCTCTGTTCCTTCTGCATTATCCCGTTGTTCTTATCCGTTACATTTGCTTCCTAGCTTCATGTTGTGTTCCCAACATGATCACACGACTTTCCTGCGTTTGGTGGACCTCGGTACAACGTCGTGTTAAATGAAGATTGTGTTAGAGATCCAAACAAATTATAACAGCGGCGTTATTGTCCTGGAGTGAAGCATAATTTAGTGTCCGCTAACTGGATAGGGACTGTTCTACGTATTGTTCTTCTATTACTGCAGTTAAGGAGAAATGAACTGAAGAAAGAGAGGAGGCTGGAATGGTCATTCTCAGGGGTTGGTGGTTGTGTAGTAATTTGGAGTTTTCCGCATAATTGTTATTTTGTCACTGCAGTTAAGGAGAAATGAATATTAGTTGGGTTAGTTTGGTCATGTTTTAGGTCTTTTTTAATAAATTGATTTTTTATTATTGATATTAGATTATTCATCCTTGATCTTTGTGATTTTCTCTATTTTTGTATATATTTTAAAATTTTTTTAGAAAAATCTAAAAAAATATATTTTCAGTAATTTTAGTTAACTTTAATCATTTTATTATTATGATTATTATTATTTAATTGTTGTGTGTCAAAAGATCTTGAAAATCATAAAAATAAAAAACATAGTTGAGGTTGAAATTTGACCGATAATTAAGTATAATGAATAAAAATGAAGCTTGATAATTAAGTCCTTCTAGCTTAGAAAAATTGAATAGCCAATGATGAATTTGATCAAATTAAAAAATCTATTAAAAACTTATTAAAATTAAAAAATTAAAATTATGAGTTAACTTGATTAAAATTGTATTATTATGGGAACTAATGATAAATTTGCAATAAATTGTTAAATCTAAAGATCTAAAATGTTTCAATTAAGGATATAATTGAAAGAACAAAAGATAATTAAGATCAAATTGAATGAAATAAAAGAAAGTCAAAATCCAAGACCGTAGCATGAATGAGGAAATGTTTGTCCTATTTTTTTAATAATACCAGCAGCGTTGACTAGACATTCTTGCTTTGCCGACAATGTGATTGTATGGGATAGATGTAATTTAATTAAATTGTAAGACCATTTCGGTGTTATCGTCATCTTTCTTATACAAACTACAAAGCATCCAACGGCTAGCTCCTCCTTGCTTGGCCTGGATATATTTATTTGCACCCCCGCAAAAACTAAGTCTTGTTGCCGCAACAAACTCACCGGATAAATCAAAATAAAATGGGAAACCGAAGATTCGCTCAAGTATCCACCAGCGACGAAGAAGAGGAGGCGCGACCAAAGGCACCGCCATTATTAACAAAGACAAAGCCTGCAAACAACAGCGAGAGGGAGAGGGAGAGGAAGAAGATAGAGCTTCAAGAAGAAGAAGAAGTAGCAGTGAGGAGAAGGAGAGGGAGACCGAGGAAGAAAGTAAGAGAAGAGAAATCAGAGGAGGAAGTAGAGGTGGAAGAGGTGCAGCAGGAGGATGCGAAGCCAGCTGGGGTATTGACTAGGGTTTCGGGGAAAGGGAGAGGGAGGAGAAATCATTTTGATGCTTTCGAGTTTGATGGGAATCGATATGAGCTCGTGAGTTATTTAGTTATTTTAATTAGTGTAATTAGGGTTTTTTTTCTTAGCTACATTTTTTGGAGAAAGATTAGGTTTTGTGCTTTAATTTTGTCAAGTGGTTTTGTTCTTTGAATGATTCTTCGCATTGTTTTAGCTGTTTTAGCACTTCGGTTGTTCGCTAGAAGTTATTTGAACTTGTGAATGTGGCAGGCATGGTGAATTTGGGGTTTAATAGGGGATTTTTCGTCCGTTTGGTTTTGATCGGTCTGGGAGGTTTATTTGGTGGATTTAAGGTTTTTAAGTATGTTTTGTTTAGTTAAATTTCGGCCTTGTGTTTTGACATCAGTTTTGGTGTTTGAAGGGTTCAGTGGAGTTTGTGTTTGTGATTGGGATAGATACACATGCTGGATTTATTTCTGGAAACACTTTGTTCTAGGTTATCCTCGGCTCTGACAAAAACAGGGTAGATTGAATTTGTGTTTGTTTTTTGTTATTTTGTTGAGCTGTTGTGTGCTTTACTTTATGGATCCCTTGATTTTTGTTCTGCACCTGGTTAAGTGAAGTGCTATTCAAGTTATTTCAGTTGATTAGATTATGGAGTTTGTGTGTGCTAAAAAGAATTGGGGAAGGAGCATGACTTGTAAAGTCCAGTGACAGGCTTAATGTGGCTGTTGAGAAAATTCAGAATCACAAGAAACTGAAATGATGATGGTTGGTGGAATTTAGATTCTTTATTCTTTTTTTTTGTGTTATGCACTATTTGATTTATTGATTCTAATGTATTCATCGTTTTGAGAAGCTTTGCTGGAATCTAGGATTATACATATGTTTTGATTGATTGCTTTTGGGGTTTGCTGTTTCCTGTTGGACTAAACCATATTTTGGTAATTTTGGTTTGTTGCTGGCAATCAGTTTAGCTTTTGGTGCTCTTTCTGCTCCTGCAAAATTTGAAGGAATTATACAATTGTACATTTTAAGATTTAAGCTGTCAGCTGTTTTTTATAACCCTATTTAATCAGTAAATGCAGCTGTGGTTTTGAGGAACTTCATGGAATCATAGTTGTTTTTACTGTTCTTCCCTAATTGTCATATAATGAATCATTGTGGATATTTATTTGTTTTTCGTCTGGCTGTTCTGCAGGAGGATCCTGTCCTTCTAGTTCCTGAAGATAAAGAGCAAAAACCTTATGTGGCAATTATCAAGGTAACTCATGGAACTACTTGTTATTTTAATTCCTCATGTGTTCTGTATCATATTTGGTGGATATGTATCTCATGCGTGGATATCCTATTTTGAATTTATGTGGTTTTTCATCCTACCCTTTATCATTCATTATTTTCTCTTTAATGATGGATGACTTGGTGGTGAAGCAAAATATTGATTTTCTGTTTTCCTTGATAATGAGAATTTTTCTGTGTTAACTGTGCAAATTTTCAGGAGTTCATGCACAGATTTTGCACTGGTTTGAAATCAATAATATTTTGGTGACGTTTGATTCTAATGATGAGCAGTTATGTCTTGACAGATTTCACAATAGTATGATATGATGTCGACCCTTTACTAAATAATGGGTGATGGGCTTAAATGAATAGTATTCTAAAATATATCCGAACACATGAATGATATACTAAAATATTTCTAAAATGAAACGGTGATAAATTCTGAACATCAATTAAGTTTGGGAATTTGGTCCTATCATATTTTAAATGGGAGCATCTTTTTGTTTACACTCAAGATTGAGAAGGCCCTGTTATTCCATATTAATGTATTTCTGCCTGTTCATTTCTTTTCATTTTTTATTTCCCAACCACTAGTTGGAAATGGGATGCGACTTGCATACCTCAGCGATTTAATTATTCAGATTCCAACTTATTTTCTTTCACTTTTGGGGATGCGATAAACTTCTATTGCACGCTGAATTGGAAATTAATTTCTTAAATTGTTGTCTCGCATTTTATTATTTCATGGGTCTCTCTGGTAAAAGATTCTTAAGTACACACTATTTGGCCAATTTTATCGTAGTTATGTTGCTGACTGAGTTTGTTCTGGTGAACATAGGACTCATTTAGTCATTTCATCTTGATGATGTAAATCATTCAGATTGTTTTGATTTTGTATCTAGTATGTATGATTTCTGTCATCACCTTCCTTTGAGACCAATGGAATTATTATTCTGTTGATAGGATATTTCTCAAACTAAGCATGGCAGCATGATGGTCACTGGGCAGTGGTTTTATCGCCCCGAGGAAGCTGAGAGAAAAGGTGGTGGAAGTTGGCAGTCACGTGATACTAGAGAGCTCTTTTATAGTTTTCATCGTGATGAGGTTCCAGCAGAGTCTGTCATGCACAAGTGTGTTGTGCATTTTGTCCCAATTCACAAACAGCTGCCAAATCGCAAACAATATCCTGGTTTTATTGTCCAGAAAGTGTATGACACTGTGGAGAGGAAGCTTTGGAAGCTTACTGACAAGGATTATGAATATAATAAACAGCACGGGATTGATCTTCTTGTTCAGAAAACTCTATCAAGGATAGGAGACCTTCCTGACATTGAAATTGAAGATGCTCCCACTGCTGCTCCTGAACAGGAAGATCCGTTAAAGGAAAAAAGAACTCTGAGGAGAAAGAATGTTTCACCTCTTGATGTGACCAGGGAGGAAGAAGCAACTGGCAGACCTGATAATTTAAAAGCTGAAACACCAGGAAGCTGCCCAAGCAATGATTCAGAATATCATGCCATCTTAGTAAAGTTTGATGCCCTGACTGGAGATACCCTTCGAGACAAATGGTTGGAGCGGCTTCTTCAGAGTATTCAATATATGTGCAGTTCTCCTAACTGCACACTTGATGATGGTAAGCTAAAAGGTGGTTTTGATGGTGTTGACCATAAAAAAGAGCAGAAGTCCCAGGGAGCTGCAAATGGATCCGAAGAAAATAGTGCAAAGGTGTATATTGATTTTTTGCACTTAGCTTTGGCATATGACATTGAATTCCATTTTTTGTATCTTGATTAGTAGGAGGAGATTAGAGGTGGAAATTTGACAATCTTGAAGATGTTTTGACTCTAGTGCTCTAATTGTAAATGACAGGTTGGCAAGTCTTTTCCCTGGCTGGATGCAGCTGTTCCTGCAATAAGTGCTCTTGAGAAGGCCTCACATGATGCTCTTTCCTCTGATTTTCAGAAATATAATCAAAAGCTGCGCCAGCTAGCATTCAACCTCAAGGTTAGTCTTGCTCTCACTCTCTATCAAGGTTGTTATTCTCTGGGGGTTCACCCCATGTGGATACTCTTCTTCCCTTATGCTCATTATGGGAATAAAGGTGCCATGGAGTTGAGTTCAGTCTTCATAAAAGATGTCAGTCATGTTGAGGGACTGTAGTGGCTTTTTCTGTACATCTGTATATTAGTGATGCACGTATATACGTGTTAAGCTGTTAAACAAATAAACTATTGAAGTTTTTCCTGTTTGCATGTGAATGAAATGGTTTTTAAAAGAGAAAACAAGCATACTCTGAATATCAATGATGCTAATACATATGTATTTACTGGCATATTTAAATGAAAGATTGAAATTTTATCAAAAGCATTCGGTGAAATGCTTTTAAAGGGAAAACTAAGCATTCTAGTAGGATTGTCTTAAGCGGTGTTGATCATAGGGTGTGGAGTATGGTCCAAATTCATATGATTAAGACTTTGCTGTGGAACAAGATGAATTTTCAAACTAATGGTGTTTAGTATCCAACTTTTGACTGAGCATGCCACCTTCTTTTGCTAAGGATGTTGATATCAATCTTCTTTACCTAAAATTTTTTCCTTTATTCTTGGCAGAATAATGCATTTCTAGCCCACCGTCTTCTAAACAGAGAGTTGGAACCCTCAAAAATGCTGAACATGTCACCAAATGAGTTGAAGGTATAAGCTCTATCTCTGTCTGCTTGGCATTATTTTTATTATTTCTGCTATTATGATCTTGTTCTGGAATATGTACAAATGCTATAGATTGTATGAATTAACAAACTTATCTGCAGGAGGGTTTAACAGCTGAGGAAACTGCGAAGAAGGAGCCTGATGAGTCAGAGCGCATGCAGGTTGCTTCTTTTTGCCACACTTTGGTTTTAACTTTGAGGTGTTGGATAGATTTTTTGGCTGTACACTTGGATGGGTGCTTGTGCTCATTGCTTGGCTAACCTGTTCGCTTGTGTATCAGATGACCGATGCTCGTTGCTCAAGATGCAGCGAGTTTAAAGTGCGACTAAGGGACATAATCCAAGCAGGACATGGAGCCCGCTACCAGGTTTTCTTCACACCTGATCCTTTTTTTCTACTTGCTATTATTTTTGAGATTGAAATTAGTTTCAAATATTTAGCATGTTGCATTGCCTTTCTGACTGTACTACATCTAACGAGCTAGGGTGCAAGCACCCAATGCATAAAGTGACATGTTAGACGTGCTAATATTTTGAACTCTAGAGATGCATTTCATGCACAGTTGCATAATATGTTCATACAGCCAAGTTGTAGACACCTGGTCTCATCTGCTTTTCTGTCTGGTAAATTATTTGGTAGTCCTTGTTCAGTCTTCTTGTACATTTATTAAATCCCCATATGAAATATTGGCTTGCAAGTCAAAATTTTGCTGACCATGGTAACTCAGATTGCATTTCAGATTTCCATTGGTGATCTATGATAGTGAACTACTTCAGAAGGCAATAAGTACAACAGGCAAAATGTTAACTGTCTGTTGCCATAAAAAAGAAAATAAAAACCACAAGTTATTCTCTTGTATAAATCGTTTGCTTATATGTTGAAGAACAGTAGTTCCTTTTTATCAAAATCTTTCCTTTTCTTTCTCTGTATTCTTTGTCTTGTTATATTCAATCATTATTGGGAGTAGACACGGAATTTAAAACCAATTTGCATGTTTGGATTATCAATCGGAACTTCCTGGGGTTTGCCTTTCTGTTGGACCTTAACTAAGTTGGCTTTATAGTGCTTGCTACTCTTTCAGTTGCTAAGCTAGCTTGCAGATTTTCGTGTTTGATAGCTATCTCTTCTTAAACTTGTTGCCATTAGTGCTAGTCTCCAATCCAATAAGGTTATGTACTTTGCATTAGCAGCATGTAATCTCAATGGGCATCTGTGCCGGAAGACTTGGCTCTGCCAATCTCTTGGCAACTTGTACTCCACAAGCCATTTTCTATGGAAGCATCAAATCTTGAAAATGTTTATGTAAGACAATGCATGCCTTTCCATCTCTCTACTGATAAGATGTCTTCGAGAACATTAACGTGACAAACAAACTTAGTTATTTTGAATGATTGGACTATATTGCAACTCTGAATTGCAATCTGCATTAGCTAGAAGTAATTGTCCATGTAAATGAACTGCCATATTTAAGTCAGTTAACTTTCAGGGTTTTTTTTTCCAGCTGGAGTGCATTGCCTGTGGCAATTCCTGGTATGCATCCAGGGATGAGGTATCTATGCTATTAATAGACACCCCGAATTCTGCCAGAAGTGTAGGCACTGCACCATGGGCAACTGCCAAGTTTGATGAGGTTGAGAAGAAGCTAGTGAGTCCCTGTGAATCTGATAAGGCGACTGAATTCCTTAAGAAAACAAGTGAACCATATATGCCCGTGTTGGAAAACCAACGATCATTTAGCAAGGTCAAGGTTGAAGGGAGTTCTGAAACTCAAAAGAATGCTGATTAATAAATACTGCCAGGAATTTGCTTGATTGTGCAGATGTCTTTAGTGGGCTATGCATAGTTTTGCACATTCCTGAAGTTCCAAGTATAGTTATCTAAAAATTAACATAAGAGTTGCTGTACAGGAGTAGGATTATGTTAGTAATACTTCTGACCTTAGGAGTTCTACCTGATCACTGCAGGATAGAAGTTATCTGTACCTAATGACAGCAAGTCTCGATTTGTTATTGAATCAATTTTATATAAATGCATAGTTACTGAAATAGCTGAAGTTATTTGGATCTCTGCTGAAATGGATAAACTTTATTCGGAACAGTACGGTGTCTGGCAAAATGAGCGTTGCAAATATCTTGTTGCTTTGCACGGGCGGCAAGAAAGAACCAATCATCCTTGTGCCGTTCTTTAGGTTTCAAGCACTCTATTGTTCAAGTGCGTGGAGGTTCCATTATGTTTTCTTGGAGTGGTATGCTCTAGGCGTGCACGCGCATGAGCTATTTCTTACATGAGCTTTTAGCTTAGCACTTTTGAGAGAGAGAGAGAGAGATGATATCTGCTATATTCATTGATTAATAGTATATTTAACCTTGACGGAGTGAATTTAACTGGTCTGTAGATTTTGATGCTCTATATGACATCAATTATCACATGAATAGCATATTATTAAAAAAAAATCAAGACGGGGGGTATCGCATGAACTATACACGTTGCCGGGGACTTGAATGCCTTGAAACAAATCGTTGTGTTCTCGAACTTGTGGAAAATCCATGGAGTATACTGGAGAGAAAAATTAATAATTCTTCCCTTTCAATTCAAGAATGTTGGATGCAGGTTCTTACATCAATTCGTACCACTTTATTACGTCTAGGACCACTTCAACTAAACTTTAGTTCATCCATATGATGTAGTAATCACAGTAGAAGAGAGTTTAAGAGCCAGTTCCAGGAATCTCGAGCCACTTGTAAATGGTATAAATAATTTGCTTATGATTTCCAATTTTGTTTTCTTTTACTTGCTATATTGGAAGTCTGCTCCTCGCAGATGGCCATTCATGCCATCTAACAATTTCACAGCTTCAAGACGTTGAGGACTTAGATGTAATTACAGTAGAATTAGGCCTTCATTTTGGTACTCTAATACCAATTATTAGTTTAATTACTCCAAACAGCTAGAATTAAATGTAGTCGTCATCTTGTCTTGATATCTGCTATTCCCAAAGTACAATAAGATAATAAGATGTCACAGTGAATCCGGCACCCTGTCTCATTTTAATTAAAGAATTAGTAGTATGCCCCCCAGGTATAACATATCACTCAGTAATAAGTTAACCCTCTTTATTTTCATTTAAAAAAAAACTAATTAAAAAACAATAATTTTTTTTTTTAACTTGTGTTAATATTTGAAACCAATAATTCTAGTCATGAATCTAAAACTAAACCCATGAAAGGTAAATAGTGAAGAATAACAAAACAATACTCTAAAAAATAATTAAAAAAATGCTAATGTTATTGATTTTTTTTTTAAAATAATAATGTATCATTTGATTTTGTAATTTTATTAAAAAAGGCTTGGTTGAAAAATAATAAAGAATCAAATAATAAAACTTCCATAGTGACATGGGTTAATCTGGTATAAGAAATGGGTTTCTTGTTTTTATTTTTATTTTTATATTTTATTGAAAATTATTTAACATATTTTTTAAACTAAAGTTTGTGATATGAACTTTCTATTAGTTTAATAAAAAAAATTACAATAAACCTTTATAGAAAATTATAATTCAAATCATTTAATTTAAAAAATTCCTTATATTATATATTTTAACTTGATATAAATATCTTGATTTCATGCGTGATAATATAGATTACGTGTGTTTAATTTTTCAGTAGATGTCGAAAATTTATTAATTAAAATGTAAATATATTTACACATAAACTATCCATAGATTTAATTAATACCACTTTTAGTTACATCTATTTTAAAAATCATATACAAAGGAAGGAGAAATGAAAAAGAGAATTATACACTTATGTATAAAATAAAGGCAAATGATATGCTCACTTATTATGCATTCAAGAAAAGTATTATGCATTCAAGCAAGTAAGGTTCTGGCCTAGCGGTCGGAGGAGCTTGTTCCCTTTCTCCGCATCTGAGTTCGAACCTCACCATGCACGCCTGTCACCCCCGAGATATCTTACCTATTTATTGGGCTTGCAAGATGTTTAGTGGGTCGTGGAAATTAATCGTGGTACGCGTAAGCTGACCCGAACACCCTCCATAAATCAAAAAAAAAAATATTATAATTTTATCATATAAAATTGATCTGCCCCTCTTAAAATTAATAACACATCCAAATAACCAGAATCACCCTCACCCAAGAAATGGATTCCGCTTTAAATAAGGGTATAAATGTCTTTGCATACATGAGTGCCCCATCTAAAACTGGTCATATAATTCAGACAAAAAGTAAAGGCAAAACCAAAACAAAGCAAAGCACAAAAAAAAACACAGGCAACAGCATAGCTAGGCTGCAAATCATGACTTAACACAGGATGGCTTTTTTAGTAGACATGCGCAGAAGCTTTGCAGCTCTGTGTCTCTCATTGCAACCCTTTGTCACGTGAGTGGGCGAGAGAGTGAGACTCCACTCTATATTCTATAGAAACAAAGACACGTTACACACTCTCTATAACTAAAGCCAAGGCATGCGCTATTCCCCTCTCTCTCACTTTTTGTGTTTATTATGCTTTACTGTCATTGGTCTGCTTCTTATTTTCTTTTCCTTTTGTACTTTTGTTGATTCTTTGAGAGTGTAAACACTCTTTGGGGTCATGGCTGACTGTTCTTGAGGAATTTTTTTTTGACCTTTTTGTTTCTATTGATAAAAGGCTTTAGCTTGAAGAGATTGGAAGGATATGATTACAGCTACTTGTTGCTGGGTTTTTCTTTGAATTCACAACCGTGAGATCCAGTGGGGTATGGCATTTCCTCAAGTTCGTTTTTTTCTCAACATTTCTTTTCTTTTTTTTCTTTGGCTTAGAATGCAAGTGAAGATAAAGTCGTTGCTAATAATTGTATGAAGCCTTCATGTCTGCAACTTTACTCTTTTGGGGAGTTAAATTTACAGAGATCATAGGATTCCTTGTTAATTCAAGTTTTTCAGTTTTATGGATCATCAAAGTTAGTTTCTTTTGAGGTTTTTTGTGATCTCAAACTTGGGAATCATCAAATGGGGAGCATGCTTTTTGAAGTTCTTTTTTTTTGAAGGTCGTCATAATAGTTCTTCAACTTTTGCATTAGCTCTTCAAAATTAGAATATCAGAGACGGCACTTTCAAGTGAGCAGATTGGTATTTGTAAATGAGAATGTGCTGGCTTGATAAGTTCTTACTAGGCGGCTATTTTTCATTGTGTGTTTTTCCGTTTCATCATGTGTGATTTGTACAGTTTACTTGGAAGCACATAGCTATTTGTTGTTTGTAGCTGGATGTCAAATTTAGTGTGAAAATAAATGCATATGATGACAATTAAACAATCCTCTTAAATGCTGATAATTTTTATTGATTCTCTAATAATACTATCGGTCTCTGGCAACGTTTAGTTGTCAGATAAGTTGGCTTCTATTTCTTGTTTTTTGTGGGTAATGTGAGTTTTATAATCAGAAATTGCTACGATCGCATTGCTGGGTCTCTTGTTTTTTGGCTTCTTCAGATATTAACATATTTTTCTTCTTATTTTGGATTTGTTCTTTCCTAGGATTGTGGATCGATTAATGGAACTGGAGATGGAGTTGGATTCGGAGAAGAGTAGCACCTCAGATCTGAGTCCTAATACTGTTCTTCCGCATCGACGTTGCTCAAAAGCAGAAAAGAGGAATGCAAATGGCAAACTCCCACGTAAAGATGATATTTTGAGGATGAAGGAGGGCTTCACTGACATTAGCTTCCGTCATTACCGTAGTTCCTCTTGTAAGAATGTTCCATCTAGACCTGTCGGTCTACAAGGTAACATAGAGCTGAAGCGAGGCTCCATATATCAAAGCTCCAGAGAAGTAAGGACAACGAAGGAAATCGGTTCTAATGGAGGGAGGAGAGCAATTGAACTTTCCCGTGCTAGTGACACCTCGTTTTCTTTCAGAATTGTTGACTCTCTGTCTAGCTTAGATGAAGAGAGCATGCCGAAGAGATCTCTTGCAAGCTCTGTGAACTCAAACTCGAATTCTAAGTTTGTTCGAAGACCTTGTGTAGAACCACGCTCATCAGATGACTTCATTGAAATCTGTCCAAATTTGGATAAGAGAGACAAACATTCTGTTGGAGCTGTACGGAGTGACTCGATTGGGAATCCAAACTTCAAATGCGAAAAGGTGTTTGGTCCACTAAATGATGGGAATGAACTTCTGGAAAGAGATACAGCTCTGATATTCCACCAATCAGTCTCTGCTAAGGTAGAAATGCCCTGTTCACCTTGTTCTTCGGAAAGCGATTTCTCTAATGGAGCTATCTCAAAGTCCCAATTCAGTCCCATCCGAAAGATGTTCGATCCATTCACAAAATCAAAGTCTATCCGGAGTCCGTTTTGTCATGTACCTGAACCAAGTGATGCCAAAACCACTGGGATGTCAAACATGGGAAGGAATCAGACATTTCGGAGATCTTTGTTCCATGACTTTTCACATGCAGCTCAGAAATCAGATTTTGGTTCTCAGATTGTCAAGAAAGATCACCATCATTCAGCTGCAGTGTGTTCACCAGTTCACCTACATGGTTGTCTGAAGATGGAAATTAAGCACGGGGTGCCTTTTTTCGAGTTCTCATTGAATCGCCCTGAAGAAGTTCTGGTGGCTAAGACATGGAAAGCAAATAATGCATTTAATTGGGTCTATACATTTCACTCCATTTCCAATAGAAAAAAGAGCGACACCACAGGACGGGGGTTGAGTGATGGAAATAAGGAATCGTCAGTGGTGGGGCAGATGCAAGTTTCATGTTCTTTATGTTCAGAATTAAAAGATGGGGGGAACTTTGACAGCTCTCTGGTGACAGAGTTTGTGTTGTACGGTAATGTCCATGCAAGACAAAGAGTTTCTACTGAAGAATCCCCTGGAGTTGGATCTGAAATAGGTGCCAAACCAGGCTTGGTTGGTGGAAGTCATGAGATGGATGGCAACTCTGATGCAGCGAAGTTCAAACATCAACCTCAACATGCTTTTGATAGAGGCAACCTTGATTCTTCCAATCCTTATCCATGGGCAGCTGCAGTTTTGCATCCAGAACTCGAAATAGCAGCCGTTGTTATTAAACTCCCATTTGCCAAGAGAGAGAGCCTGAAATACAAAAGGGGTGACAAGGGTAGTGATAAAATGCATTCGAATCTGCTCAATCTTTCTGTTGGCGAGCAAAGGATGAAAACTATCCGTGATGAAGGAAATCAAGAGAAGGTGAAGGTGGTGATTCCAACTGGAAAACATAGTTTGCCAAGGGGTGATGGTCGGGGTCCTTCTTCATTGCTTGACAGATGGAGATCTGGTGGAGGCTGTGACTGTGGTGGCTGGGATATGGCCTGTCCCCTTACAGTTTTTGGCAATCCAGGCATCCAATGTGCTGAAGACGAACCACTCTTGGACAACCAGCGGCCTTTGGAACTTTTTCTTCAGGTAAGCTTCCTGATTCATACTCGAAGATGTTTTACATTGCTGACATGGATAAAATGGAAATCTTACACTTGGATAAAAGAATCTATGCCCCAAATACGGGCAACTTGGCTTTATTGGTAATATGAATCATGCAATTAGTCTCTCTATAGTTCCTTACTATAACAAGATTCTGATTTTTGTGCAGGGAATGAAAGAGAATAATATACCAGCAATGACCATGACAGTTCTTGAAGAGGGTCAATATGCTGTTGATTTCCATGCACAATTATCCACATTACAAGCATTTTCCATCTGTGTTGCTGTATTGCATGGTACAAAAGCCACTGGTGTGACTGGAGAGGAAAGAGGCAATCGGTTATCACATTGCAATTCACTGAAAATGCTTATGGAGGAGGAAGTGAAGTTCTTCATTGAAGCAGTCACTGAGGAGGAGAAAAGGAAAGCATCCAAGAAAGTGGAAGGGATCAAGCAATCTTACAGGCTTAACCCTCCCTTTTCTCCAATTGCTCGGGTATAGCCTCAACGTCATACTGAATGCTTCCTCTAGCAAAACTGACCAGGCTTGCAAAGATCCAGAACCAAAAGAAATTCAATGAAGAAAGAGGTTCTCATGATCTAAAAGGGTTCGGCAGGAAGCCGGTTGCAGCAATCTTTGCCAAGGGTGACTAAGCTGGGAGTTTGAAAATGCTTTTGAAACCCTTGCACAGCTGTGCTCATCAGAATACCCAATGTATGTATAATTTGATTCTATTTTGTTCTTCCATTTTTCAACTAGCTAGAAATAGTATAGAAACGTATCACTGTCCATAATTGTAACTTGATAGGAAGGGAAATACACTAATTGGAAAGATAAGAGGGGGTCTTGATCTTGTTTGTATTATATTTGAGGATATGGTGTCGAGGGGAGTAGATATCAGATGGTTTTTAGAAGCTTTCATCACTAATGTATTTGGAGGCAGGCATTTCAAAATATTTGTTCACAAAACCATATTGTAACTTCAAATTTTTGAATAATGGGTTACTTTATCCTTGTTTGTTCTCCATGGTTAAATATTTCACGCAGTGATGCAATTACCTCTTGAGTATTTCCCCCCTCTCTAGCTCAATAAATTCTCACACTTGGGATGGGAGTCCGAAAACATTGATAGATGCTTCACAGATTCTTGATGTCCTTAATGAGAATCATGACAGAGCCATGCCGTGGGTTAACTTTTGCAGGACATGTCCTTGCTTAAGTAAGAAAATCTTGACATGTTCTGTCCCAGAGAGCATGCTGCCATGACAGTGAACGTGCACTAAACAAATTCTTACACCCTTGACCTTTATGTCATCTTTTTTGGCTTTCATGAATTGCTAAGCTAATACTCACAGCAGCATACTTCGATACTCACTGTCCTTTTTTCTCAGCTGAAACAACACCTCGTGCGTACTTCGGCATGGCAATGAAAAATGAAATATATTAAAAAAGTATCGATTATTTAGTTTATTTTAGCCACTACATATTCCGCAATGTTTCCCATAACTCAAAGCGTCTCAATGTTATTCCTATTATTTTCATACACAGTTTCAGTACAGCCTTAATCGTTTTTTTTTATTATTATTAATTTCATAGATTATTATTGCATGAATATAGTGGGAAAGAAGATACAGATGAAAGAAAGAAATGGAAAAATTGAAAAAAAAGTTAAATGTAAAAGTGGGAATTTCGTTAGTTATTTACCAATCGAGAGCCGCACTGGATCTTTTTATAATTTATAAGACCAAAATCACAGATTTTAAACTACAGGGACCGGAGTAGAAAGTTTCTTAATCTGCAGGTCTTAAAGTACAATATAGAGGTCGTACATACGCTGACAAATAAAATTAGCTCAACTTAAAAAGCCAGTCGCCGTTGCCGGGGATCGAACCCGGGTCACCCGCGTGACAGGCGGGAATACTTACCACTATACTACAACGACACGGTTGGGAGGTGATCCATAATTAAAGTACTTATATAATAGAATTATCAAATGCCGCAGGCCCACACCGCCCCAGAACCAGTGACTGGAAAGTTGAACACAATTATCAGTAGTAAAAGTCAGCTGAGAGAAACCCATTGAAATCATTGTTGAAATGCTTCCAGTGCTTAAGTAATTAATATATCTTAAAAAAAATTACAGTGATTGGACTTTAAAGAATTTGGATTCAAAAGAGCATTAGTGCAGGTTCCATTATTCATCCACTACTACATTCTCAGTGAAAAAAAAAGCAGCACCAGAACAGCATTGGTTTTTCGATAATGTAAACACCAAGAATTTGGTTCATATCCTGGTCGATGTTTTCCAGAAACCCGAGAGAGGCTAGAATAGCATGGAATATCATATTTAGATGAGGTGAATGGCAAAGACAAAAATGTCATGTTGCAGGTACAGTATCCATTTCCAGTCCACGGTTCCCTTGATGGATTCTCTCATTCCTTTATTCTTCCAATTCCAATCAGGACAGTTCACAAAATAATCATGATCCACGAAGATATCTCCTTTCTTTATTCTTCAAATGAACACACTTGTTCACAAATAATCCTGATCATCTTCACAAAATAATCATGATCCACGAGATATCCCCTTTCTTTATTCTTCAAATGAACACACTTGTTCACAAATAATCCTGACCATCTTGATGTCGGGGTGCCAACATTGTGATTATGATGCTATTGGCAACGATGCTGAATCATTTTCAATCCTTTCTTTGTACTGAATACTTTAAGCACTAAACTGTGGCATCTCCAAAGAAAATAATCTTTTCAAAAATTCATATGATGCAAAGAATACTGCTCCTTGAGACATGTACATAACCAATCTCGGAGTTAATCCCCTGAACATGGAAACAAGAAGAATAGTGGTTAAGCAGAGCTGATAATATCTGTAAATCACAAGTTTCAATGCTGGGAATATAATTTATAAAATGATAATTCAAAAACTAAAATTACTCTGCAAAGAGTTTGAACGGTCATGCAGGTCATAAGCTCCTCACATGTGTGTTGCCTTTTCAAACTCCTAATAAATTTGCCAAGTATGTCACGCTTCTAGATACTAAAGTTCATCCTAAAAAAACTTCAGATTTTTAACACCCTGACATTCTTCAACTCAAAAGCCACAGCAGAGTTATCTGTTCATAGAAGTCGATGATGACTTAAGAACTTGAAATGTTTTACCATTTTAAGCCTGTAAACAACTTTTAAAACCATTATCATCCTTAGATGAAAATGTGCAGAACCAAATCAACTTTACCTATAGAGGCCCTTCAAACCTTCATTCTTGCCTATTTCTTGAAGTGCATGAAATACGTTTACATATGGGCTCATGGATCCAGGAATCTGCAAAATGCCACTGTTAGAGAAACATGTGCAAAAGATTAATGATGATAGCAGGCAGCGCATAGAGAAATATAATTAGTTACAAGTCACACAGCTAACTGACAGGTCTTTTTTGCACCAAACTCTCTTGAGGTTACACAATTGCACATTCAAAAAGACTTTAGAAAAGTAAAAAAATATACTACATAAACTTCTCATCAGTTGAAAATCTATAGATGGCATGTTATTGAATAATATCAATCTTTCCTTTATGATAAATATCTTGAATAATAAAGTCCCTAACATATCCTTGCAATTAAATTGTACAGTCAGATTCATGATACACCCATATAGAGCTATTACAGAACGGAAATACTAAAAAGGTTTCAGTGCATTGTTTCAAATATGGATGGAGGGGTGTGTGTGTGTTTCAATGGGTGCATAAGAGCTTGACAAATGTGATACTTCTACTATCTAACTTTCAAGAATCACATGAGGCTACACAACAACAATTCAATACATTTACAAACCTGTGTCTGCAATCTTGTCTTCACCACATCAAAAGGAGTTGTAAATAAGGCTGCAGTAGATCCTGCTAATCCTCCACAAACTAGCTGCATTGATTGGACTTTGTCTAAGAATATCCCATGTAAATGATTTGAAGATACTAAAAGAAAATGCTATGATCCAACCACCAAGCCAGCACCACAAAAAAGTGGAAATGTTACACACAACAGGCAGAGGGTTTATAAAGGGAGCAAGCATAAAGAAAGGAACAAACCGTTTGTAATGTATTGGGTTGAGCACTGGAATTTTGAGATGACAGCACCAACTGCTTCAAGCTTTCATATGTGTAAAACTGCATAATGGCTAATATATCTTTAGAATTGGATGCTGAATCAAAAAGCATCAGCAGACAGTCCATAAAAAACAAAATCTTTGTGAAAATTTGAGGTCTAAAGCAGCCAGATTTTTTATGGCGTTTCACTATCTTGCAACCCAGAGGCATCACAATATCACATGTTAAAGTAGAGCAGAAGATTAACATAAAAGAGGCCATAGAATATCAAATAGCAGGGGTCAACATAAGCTGCAAAGCAGTTAGATTTCATAGTTTAATTTACGTTATGATCAGAAAGATCATTAGTCTAAAATATGGAGCACAGAACAGGCAAAAACATCTAGCATGTAGAAAGATCTAACCTTGATCACTGACTGTGGAATGTTCCGACAGAGTACAGCTCCCCAACCTGCATACAACGAGTGGAAACCACCTTTTCCAATTATTCCAACCAGTGCACTCCTGCAAATAAATATTAAAGTAACAAAAGAATGACATATTAAAGTAACAAAGGACTGGCATATTTAAGTAACACAGGAACAACAACCAATAATAGAATGGATTCTCTATTATGAAGACAACATAAAACAGTGTCCAGGAAAAATAAGTACAGAACTTCAAACACTAAGGTAATAGTAAGCTCTCAAAGGTATACCAGCAATTGTTATAGTGTGAACCAATTTGCATCTGCTGCTTTATACGTTCACTGGGAGTAAAAACAAAGGAAGTTGCAATGCTTGCACAACCGCCTGCAAGGCAATGGGCAAAAGAATGATGTTCCTGCAAAAGTAAATGGTTAAGACTTTTAGGTGTATAGACATCGCATCAAGGTATAACACAAAAGACATGCAGAAAAGCAATATTAAGCATCATAATCCATTTCCTTTTTAAATATTTTCCTGTACACAGAGGGTAGACAGTTCAAAAACAAGGAACAACAAGAAAGTTGGACAAAGCAAATAGAATAAATGCAACCTTGGGAAACTGAGGAAGCAAAGATCCTTTAACTGATTCATATGTAAAAGTGTAAATGGCAGAAATTGGAGCTGACGATGCAATATTGCTACCTATTCCACGATAAAGCCCAGTCATGCCTGAAAATTCCATCTCGATCAATACATGATGCCAATTATGCCAAGATAAATATTAAACAGAAAGCCAAGAAGAAGAACAAGTTCAATAAACCACCAGCAAGCACAATCACCTTCAACTTTTCACACTAGAATTTACCTCTTTCAGAAACAATTGATCTTCCAATGAAGGAGATAGACTTCTGTTCTGCAGGGCAAGATTGGATGATTGTCTTTACTGTATCTATAGGATGCAGAGAAAGGCTAACAAAAATACCAGCAAATGCACCCGCAAAAGCATGCTCTTGCTTAGCTAAGGCATACTGAGGTCTTTCGCATGCTGATGACTGAATGTGTATTCCAGTTCTGCCCTGAGCGACCAGATTTTGTGGTTGTTCTCTTGCATTTTTAGGTGCATCAAAATCACCAATGTCATTTTCAAAATGTTTATATGTACTCTTACATGGAGCTAAACAATTAATATGATAATCTGCGAAAAGAACATAATTTAGAGCTCTTGAAGCACTACTATTGGCATTAAAATCATGGAGAGCCCCAAGGAAATAGTCAGAGGATACAGAGCTGGATTTTCCTATAGTTACTACTCTTGCATTATCACACAATGATACCTCTTTTGATTCGACTGAATCAGAGTAACAGTCAGCAGTTCTAGAAGCTAAGTTATTTGCAGGGTTAGTTGGACAATCTCTGGCCATGCAACCTTCTGTGCTGTTATTTGCAGGATATTTTGAACAAGCAGGAATCAGTTCCTTCATCCATCCATATAACTTATACAATTCGTATCCAGTACCCCCAGTTGCAAGACCTTTCCCCTCCCGAGACTCATCCCGCAAGCTGGTACCTCTCTTCAAAAACCGCCAGAACAGTGACCGGCTGTAATTTTCACTAGAAGGTTCAAACACCAACATCTTCTTAGTTACTTTAAGAAACTCAAACTGTGGCTGCACCATCTGTGTAACATGGCTACCATTCCTTATATCAACACAAAAGTATTTAGTATTATCATCTAGAATGGCTGCCCTGCCAGCTCCTGCCCCATTCAGATAATTCAAGATAACATTTTTCTGATCCTTGGTTTCAGGAACGGCGCAAGGATTCAAAAGATTCCAAACCTGCCCAACTGCTGAGACAAGCTCAGTCGTGCTGAATATTTCTGGCGACGAAGTTCCAGATTTTATGTCATTTGGCTTATTATTCTCAGAAATGGAAGGGGAATGTCCATCATGGACAAAATCAGTAAGGTCAAAAGGCATTACCCCATTTCGATTCCTCTTGTAAGTAATTGAAGGAGGCTGATTACCTCTACCAGGCCTTTTGCCCCCATACATTTTGTTACAAATCTTTCAAGACTTCCCTCGAAAAAGCAGACAATACAACATCGCTATCTTGAATGCAACATTAACTGCAAACACAAAGATCGAGTTTCAAATCTAAACAACACACAAACACCTTAAATCCCAAGTAATTCACGTAATTATGCAAAACCCAAAATCCTTTCAAAAACGAGATTGACTGAGACTAATAGCAAAAACCACCTGCTGCAATGGAATGCAAAATTGAACAAATGTAGTCCCAATTCCAAAAAAGTAAGCTTTTTTACATGGCAGCTTCTAGAAGTAACTAAAACCCAGTTCGCAAAAACAAAAGGTGAGACCATTCTTATTTGGGTTAGAACTTTCACATTATCCAAACAGAATAAAAATAAAAAGGTCAAACATTTATAAGAGTTTACGGAGTTTTAGAGAAAGCTCAGACCTTGATGAGTTTGACCTTTTTTTCTAGCAGAAAGTAGCAGTATCTGAGATTTGTTTCTTGAATCATTTTCTGGAAAATATTTTTGAAGGAAGGAGAACATGGGGTTTTTACGAGGGTTTTTATTTAAATTTGTGATATCATTTTTAAGCATAAATTCTATCAAATCATTGCTTTACATCATGCAGTGATGGGCCACCGTACAGATTCTTGCCTGTTTGAAAATTGGATGTTGGGGGCTGCGTTTAATGGGCCGAGACGATACAGCGAGGACCCTCTCGTAAATAAGTAATGCTATTCGTTCCCACATTTATTTTTTCCAAAACAATCAATCATCGATCATCGATATGATAATGGATCCGATGTAGCACTCCTCTCATCAAGCAGTAGATATTATTCTAAGAAATAAAATTTCTAGTTGTTTTTTCCCTTAGAAATACCATTGTTGAAGAAGATGGTTCCATCAATGAATTTATGTGGTCCATTAGTGATCAAACGATTTGCAATTAATTCGGGATTGTGTTCTTCAGGTCTCGAATTGGCTTGGATGTTGGGATTTCAAAAGGTTATCCTGGAATCTGACTTTAGAAGGTTCAGCTCATTACGCAGGTGTTTATTACGGTGGAAAACTCCCTCATTGCCGAACTAAAGCAGCTGCTAAATCGTGAGTCGGAGATCAAAGTCCACCATGTCCACCGCGAGGTAAATCAAGCAGCAGATGTCCAATTGTTTTTCAACAAAACATTTAAGCAACTCCATATTCTTGTCTTCAAAAATACATTCATGTCATTCTGATATAATCATCAATCAACAACATAAAATATCTCTTTTAAGAATGAAATGAAGCGTACATGTAACATTCCACAAATGTAGGTGTGCACCAGCTCAAGCATATTCTAGGTTCTCAATGCTACTCCTCTAAAAAATAATTAACCATGATGTTTTTCAATAACACACCATTCATTCACAAAGTATCTTTTATTTCATTAATGAATAGAAGTTGTTTAACCATTTTTATTTGGTGAAGTAATTTGAAGTTGCTAAAATTTCGAGTCATTAAGTCTTTCATGCCATAGCCTTGAATTATGTATTTTATCTATCTTTAAATTACCTATTTTCACACACTTCAAATCAAGTGGAAAACATCTATTCACTTTTTTCATCCCTCTTATAATTTATATTCTTGAAATTTTCTCGCAAGAAAAAGACAATTAATTGTTTCTAATACCATAATTTTTAGCTAATATCATAATTTTTCTATCGCATTTCCCATCTTCAAGGGTATTTTCTTGTTAATTGTTTCTTATACCATAATTTTTAGCTAAGTAATGAGGTTTCTTATAATTATCTCTGTTTTTACAAATAATTTTGTACCATATGGTACGGTCTATTATAAGAATTACACTTCTTAACACTTCTATTGTTATCATAGTTGCTGCCAAAATGATGTATTTTTTTATTTTTTTATTTTAAAATATATTTATTTTGAGTTTTTATTATTTTTTTATCCGCTAAAACTTGATTATGGTTTTGTTGACATTATGAATTTTAATTCAAAGTTCATAAATCTCTTTTCAATTTTCTCAATATCTCTATATTTATTTTTGAAGATCATCCTCTCTATTATCTGTCATATTTATTTTTTATTATCTTTAATTCTTTTCACCTGAGTTTCTTTTAATTGTCGATGACTGATGTTCGTGCAAGAGTTTACAAACAATACAATAGCAACCACCAATTACAGGAAGACAATGAGTTATCAGTGTCATTCACGGATGTCTGTGATAATTAATACATGTCAGCAATGAAAAACAAATACTATCAAGCATCAAACATTAATTCTAATAATATTCTCCCTTTTTATTTTTATTTTTCAATTAAAAATCGGATAATGTGTTCATTTGTGGAGAACTAAGAGGGGCTAAAACAACTCAGAGGAGGTAGGGTTGTTCTTCACAGTTTTTGACCGATACCTCTTGGTAGAGCTGTTGCTCAATACCATTGGATTTTATCGTTCTCTTATTCCACAAAACTACAACATAGAAAATTATAATCATAATAATTACCTAAATCAAATGTTATAAGAGATATAGCACAAAATAAAGAAAGCAACGATAATGATGACAATACTGCAATGCAAGCCTACACGATGCCATGGGGGGTAATCCAAATCATATGCATCTTTTGTGTTGAGGTAGTAGTAGGGAATTGCTCAAAACAAGCGGTCTCCAAGTTATAGACACCTGCATCATATCTTATTTGCTTATTCTTGCAGCCCTTTGCATTGACAGATTGATCCGTGTAATAGATGCAATTTCCCTTCAAGCTCGATGCCTCTGACTCTCGTAAAGTAAATGGTTGCATCTGCGTTGGTCCCAGAAATAAGGCATAATCACCCAAACTCCTGACTTGATGTTTATCCCAATCATAGTCATTAACTTTTTCATGTTTATCCCGATAATAGGAATCGGAATCTAGTTTGTACAATAGGAACTGTGAGGTTAGTGCAGGTTGATCACCATCGTCCTTTCTGCGCACCACAATCAACAACTCGCCTTGCGCTTCCACCAAGTACAGATGCTCGAGCGTTTTGAAACTGGAATTCCGAGTGCGTGGAACACTGTTTATCAATTCATTGATACATAGATCAGACCCGTCGAAATTACAGACGAATAACTTCTTGCTTATATGCAGCACATAGAACCGGTCGTGGCAATAAACCGCGTCCAAATAACCCTCGTGGTCAATTGAAGAACGTCCAAATCCAATGCTTCTCCACTCTCTGTTTCCCAATTTGCAATAAGCAATCTGACCATAATTATAAATGGCCAAGACCAAGCATGAATTTGATTCTGAGGGGTTTGGACAACAAGATAAAACAACTTTCTCAATAGAGCATGATCTAGGATACCATGATGGAACACCGCCTGTGCCATAAGGAGGGAGTGTGGACACATCAGGAAGTTCGAATTTTTCACCCGAGACAGGATTCAGGACAAGCATGTCCTTGTTTATTTTATTGGTGAATGCTTCCTCGTTTCTGTCCTCCAAGATCAGCCACCCTCGATAAGACCCGCAATATTTACCAGCAAGCGGGATTGTTAGCATTAGCGGTTTGTTAGGCGCAGGGCTATCTTGGTTATCATCCTTGTTGAGGATTTGTTTCAGAGGCAAGAATTGGTGTGTCTTGGAGGACCTCTTGAGGCTACCAGGAGGTAGTATAAGACCTGGAAGTTGCTGAATCGCTAAGTTATTGCAATCTTGAGGAAGGTTAAAGCACTCAGCCATTCTGGTTGCTCCGTCAATTTGTGCTCCAAGAAGAGACTAACTAGTGAGAAGTATAATGTGATAGAGCAGCTACACACAAGGTTGGCCTCTTACGTATATAAAGCCAGAGACTTTATGATTCCGTAGTTAAATCGGATGCCTTCTTATTTTCCGAAGCCTGGTTCCTTAAGGATTGTCGAACGTGCTCAACCGTTAGGATATCTGTCCGAGCTAGCCCATTCTACAACTTTCCTGTTCAAGGAGTCAGATTGTCGGATTACTTGATATTAAAAGGAAAGATAATTATTTTAATACAGGGGAAAAAAACGGGAACTTCGTATTCAGTGGACTTTTCAACTATATTTATAATTCTTTTCCTAGGTGCTTAGGAATTCAGGTTCCTTTTTTAAATAGGAAACTAACCCAAGACCTCCCATTTAAAAAAAAAAGGAAAAAAAGAAAGAGGAACATCTCTATAGACAATAATAGTATTTGATGTTTTCCTTCTTTATGTGTTCTCTCCACCAGTGAAGCAGTCACAGAAACAAAAACTACACTCGTCCGCTCAAGAAAACCAAGAGAAACTACATCCCGCCTGCTTATTGTTCTTATGACAATGAGGGGAAGCAAAAAAAAACTGTTAAAAAAAATTGTGATGTTATAGAGTGACAATGGTGAAACCTAAATGGGTTATCATTGCCTATATACAAGCACAAACACTCCCACGAGATAAATATGGAAGTAATTGTTGGTAATAATAATCATTACAAGTTAGAATCACATTCTGCAAAGGTTAAGCTTCAATCATTCTACCATCTAAAACTCCTTCACTTTTAGTGCCAATGTTTCACCGGCTTGGTTGCAGAGAAACTGCTTGCAGGTGGTTTCCTGGCTGCTGACATACCTTTCCGGGAAAAAAAAAAAAAAAGCAGAGGTTGAATCAACAGAGATTATTAAAAGCATAGGGCACCATTGTAAGTGAAGGATAATAGCTGCAAGTATTAGTGTTAGCAGTAATAGCATCCCAACATGCCCTGCAAGATAAGGGACTACAGAAGGAGATCAATGGCTCAGTATGAAAAGTAATTAAACATACGTACTTGATGAAGCTTTAGAGGCAGAGCTGATAGTCGTTGACAGACGAGGTAATCTTGTTCGTGCCAGCTTTTGTGAAGGCTTAGGAAGCCTAGATACGAAACTCGGTCTGCTTAAAACAACAAAATTTATCAGGCTTTAGATTCATTGCAACAAAGTGGTGTAACTCTGATTAAAATCCTAGGCCTCGAGAACAACCATGCAGAAACTCCTTCAAAGAGGAGGAAAGGACAGAACGTGAGTGATAAAATTTAACAATAAAGAGATGTAGCAGCAGCACTTTGCACAGGAAAGCTATATAACAAAATAAAAATTTACCTTATTTTTTTATGCCTTTTATTTTATGCTGAAGATACCAAGCTAATGATGACTTCCCATCCCGAATACTTAAGGGAATAAACTTAGTTGAATAACAGTAAAAATGCAGGTAAAACAGCGCTGAAGATATGTGTAGGATATGATAGTTGGTCATTTTAAAACTGAGCAATTACTTCTAAAGATATACCTTAGTTTTAGTATGATTTAGAAAGCTCGTGAAAACCGAAGCAAGTTATAATATCAAAATCGTTTCACAACTTTTACACTGCAATTTTACTTGGGTGATAAAACTGAGTGCCAGTCAGGTTGTAGTATCGCAGAGACAAGAAGCTTTCTGACCCAAACAAAAAAGATTGTAGAACATTCAAATTTCTCAATAATATGAAGCATACTCACTTCTTGTCCTCCGCCTTCCTGGCTGGTTTTGCAGCTTCAACCGGTTTTGCAACTTCAACTGGTTTTGTAGCTTCAGATGGTTTA